CCCCAAAACCCCAAAACCCCTCAAGTGATTAATAGATTTTTTATCAAGGTTTATGATTATGAAATAAACATCTTATTTCCTTGTTTTTAATTCAATTTAGCTATCTTATCTACTGATTGCTGGCAGTAAATTCATTGCTTGCCAATATTCTCTCTGCCTGAGTACCCTTGATCTCACCACTCTTGAGAACGGATAATGCGACTCTCTCTGCTAAACTCTCCTCCTTAATCAAAGCGAGGTCATTCTGCTCTACTTCAAATATCTTCCAGAAATCTCTTAAGAACTTTGCTTTCTATTCTAGTTTTTACTGTTAGTAATAGATGGCTAAGTTGAGTTAACCTTCAATCTCTTTTCTCTTTTACTTTGCAAGTCTTTTAGATTTTTCCTTGGCAGTTTCACAGATCTTTTAAAGAACTTCCTTAGTCATGCAGGCTTGACTCTTGGAATGTGGAATTAGATACAGATCTCCGAGATCTTCGTGGACCTTTTGATTAGTTTGCTGGTTCACTTGCTATTGTTCTTTCTTTTTAGCTGCTTACTGCTTTCTGGTAGTTCTCCTTTCTGGCTCTTACTAATGTGGCTGTGATGTCTCTTATTATATATGCTCTGTTTTTATTAGATCTAACTCAATCGTAGACTTCTTTTCTTGTTCAAGCTAAGCCTAGGTTGGTATCTTGTCAATGTATTCAAGACTCTTTGCGAAAATAGCCAGTTGTGATAGCAATGGATTCGAACAGTCTTGGAACACTGTGGGGACATAAGTTTATAGGACTTCTTCATTTTTCTTGAGGCTTGCATTTTAGAATTTGATTAGCAAGGATTCACTTATAGGCAAACTGATAAATTAGAAAGCGCATTCTTGTGGGCTAAACATGCTTTGAAACTGCTTTTTAGCTATCATCTCCCAATCATTATCATATAATGACACTCCTTCAACAAGTCTCTCTCTATCTTCTACAGTCCATTCTTAAGGTTGTTCGATCTACTGACTATAGCTATCATCTTCTCTTTGAATATTAAGCTTTACTTAAAATTCTGGATTTTTTAGTATAGATTCAATACTGTACTTTTCGAAGTCAAATTAAGTGAGGATTCTTGGGAAGTTGCCAAGACCGAAGCACTCCTTGCAAATCAAATAAGTAGAGCTAAGGTTCTTCAGAGTCTGATGAAGTGAGTCTAGTTCACCCATTGCTTTCAAAGCGATCTCCTCTCTAAAGTTATGAGTATTGATATTGGCTTTCTTTTTATACCAATAAGGCCCACAGATATTTCCACAGAAGTTGCATGCTGGACTCTTGTGACTTGAGAGAATGTTTATCTTTCTCGCTGCAATTAGGTAAATATTCTGAGATGGATTGGTAGTTACGTGCTGCTCCTCTTTCTGAAAGAATTGAGATATCTATTCTGCTTCGGTCATTTTAAGGTAGCCCTTAGCAGCAACATCAATAAGGCTGTTGTTTATGTTACCACTAGCACCTAATTAGATCTTTGCTGGTTTGAGTTAAGGGTCAACATTGAAGTTAATGAGTCCCCAGTGCTCTAAGAATGCATGTAATCTGATTATACTGCATACATCACTTGGAAGGTTTTTTCTACAAACAGTGGCGGACAAATAGGAATTTGGGGCTTCTCTATAGAGTTTGATTATGAAGTTTCTCTAATCCATATAAGTGGCTGGATTTTTGTGAGGAAACTTTCCACAGAAGAACTCAGGCAGACTCTGCATCTCGATCTCATGAATCTTATCAATGTTGAACCAGGCACTGCAGCTGGGTATGATGAATGAAGTCTTAGAGTATTCCATCTCATTTTCATCTATCTTGGTTTGACTCTCCTCATTTTCGTTTTCAACTCCAGCTAGTTCGAGCTCATCCTTTGGATCCAAATTTGAGGACTGATCAATGCTACCTCTTCTTTCAGAGTCTTGGTCTCTAAACTGTTCACCCCCTTTTGCTCCTGAGCTGTCTTTTTGCATGGATTGTTGTCTCTTTGACTTAGGTGGTACAATCTCAAGAGATTAGGGCTGATTTTTAAGATTTTCTGAATCCGTGAGTCCAGGTCCTCCCGCCATTTGAGTGTGAGTTCTCTTGAGAGTTTTAGACTTTGAGTTTGATGACTAGAGACCAGATTTAGAGGTAGATTTGGGGGCTGAGACTGAATCTAAAGCGTAGAGCTTAGTAGATGGGTCTCTCTTGAGGGTTATGAGGAACTTAGTAGGGGTTGTGTTTATGCTTTCTTTTTTCATTGATATAATTTATATAACTCTATTAAATATATTATAGAACCTCTACTTAATTATTGTAAATGCATGCCATCGGGGTTTTGGGGTTTTGGGGTTTTGGGG